GTTTTGCTGGAATTCTTGTAAACAAGAAGTGGTTGCCCAATCTACTGCTGAGGCTGAGTATATTTCAGCTGTGGAAGCTTCAAATCATGCTATATGGTTGAGGAAAATGCTATCTGATATGGGGCAGCCTCAGTTTGATCCTAGTTTGATTTATGTGGACAATACTTCAGCTATTGCAATTGCTCAAAATCCTGTGCAGCACAAGAGGACTAAGCATGTTCATGTCAAGTATCATGTAATTAGGCAGTACATCAAGAACAAGCAAATTCAGTTGCTTCATTGTAGTTCAGATGTACAACTTGCTGATATTCTTACTAAGTCTTTGCCAAAACAGAGGTTTGAGATGCTGAGAGAGCAGCTTGGAGTTACCAGACTTGCTCTCAAGGAGGAGTGTTAGCGTGTGAGATCAAGTCTTTAATGTGGCAGTTACATTTAGTTTATTTTACTTAGTGGTGGAGCAGTTTCTTTTTAGTTGGTAACTTCTTTTCATTTTCAGCAACTGTTATGTATAACCTTCTTTCTTTAAAACGTGTGTGTATGTCCGCTGTTATTTTCTGAAATATATCAGATACTGTTCATGTATTTCAACAGTGTTCTATGTATTTCATAATTTCTCAAGTTAATCCTTGAGTTTATGTTCACTTCATGTTGTTTTTCACTTGAGTTTTCATCTTTACATCATCAGTCCCCTTACTACAAGAGCTGTGGCTTTTATATTTGGACCTCTGGATGCTGCCACTGTTTGCTGCTTTTCTTCTTTTTTTACCATTGCATACACCTTATTTAGGGAGGGCAAAGGATCCATGCTTAATATTGGGGATCGAGTTGTGGAAAAGTTTTCATTCAATCCCATTAGGAATTGGTGGATTCTCTCCGTCTCTCGAGCCTTTGCATATTATTTTGCTGCCCCGCATGTGCAGCCACAAGTGCAGACAAGTACTGGTTCATGTGCCTGTAACTCATCCCAAATTGGCTTTAGTTTGGTAAAATAAGCAGATACTGACCTTGTTTGCTGTGTCAATGTTGCTAATTCAAGTTTGAGTTCATGCACACGAGATGCATTCCCTTGAGTAAACCGTTCCAGCAGTTCATTCCAAATTTCTTTTGCTGCCTCTGCATAAGCCACGCTGTCTTGTAGCTCTTTAGTGATTGTGTTAAGGATCCAAGAGAGCACCATAGAATTGCACTTCATCCATGCTTTGTATTGAGGTGAGGTTGTCTCCGACTTCTCAAGAGTTCCATCTACAAATCCAATCTTATTCTTGGCGTAAAGAGCATTTTGCATTGCTCTCCTCCAAGTATGATAGTTGTCCCCATTCAACAAAGTTGTTACAAGAATCCTCCCTGGATCATCACTTGGATGGAGGTAGTAGGGTGAATCCTGATCTGTGGGTTTGAGGGTTGTGTTTGCTCCCCCTGTCGCACCAGATCTGGTCTTTTGATCCCCATCTGCCATTGCTTAAATATGGAGTGTAGCAAAAACTTGCTGTCAAAGCTAGAAATTGCAGCAATGACTTGCTGTCAATGAGCCCCTTGCTCTGATACCATGAAAAATCTAAAGAATTAGAAGAACATAATTGGATGAAAGCTGTATATTTCTCTGTACATAATACATTGCCTATATGGAAGTTAATGACAGAAGTTTAGCCTAAAACTATTCTTACATAGAAGGAAATACAAATCAAGAAAGTAAAGGAATAAATCTGTTATAATGATTGATTGCTTCTCTGTCAACAAGCTTGATTTTCTCCGTGATGATAACAAGCTTGATTTTCTCCGTGATGCCAACAAGCTTGATTTTCTCCGTGATGATCTCCTACAAAAATTCCATTTTGATTAACGAACAAAAAATAAGCCTTGCCAATTGAGTACCCATTAACATGATCAAAGCTCCAAATTCTTTGGTTTGGTTGAGAGTTCATGACAATCCCATCCATGAGGATCCCTTTTAGCCTTTGTTCTTCGTTCCTTTCCCTGCCAAAAGGTTTGCGTCTCCATACATTTTGCCATATCCATGAGCCATTGAGAAGGTGTCCCGCTTCCATAATAGTTGCATCCCTATTATTTGCTAAATTAAGTAATCTAGGAAAAGAGATGTGCAGGGGTTCGGTTCCTACCCAGTTATCCCACCAAAATTTAATTTTGTCTCCCAATCCCAGCTTCCAACTAAAGCCATCTCTAAATACCCTTGAACCTACCACCCCCTCATTTCCTAATGCCACAATATTCCTTCAAAGAGTGGAAACATTCCTAACTTGTATTTGTGTAATATCTCATGCATTACCACCCCCATAATACTTACCAACAAGAACTCTCTCCCATAAGCATTGATCCTCTTTCCCAAACCTATCCCATCACTTTCTTAATAGAGCTATATTTTTGCAATCTAGGTCTGGCACTCCTAGACCCCCATTACTTCTACTTCTACACACTTTCTCCTAGCTAAACCATGCCATCTTACTCTTCTCCTCTGTATAACCCCACAAAAATCTCCTTTGTAATCGCAATAATTCAGTAGCACTATTTTAGGAATTCTATATATAGAGATAAAGTAAACAGGAAGAGCTGAGAGGACAGACCTTAGCAATGTAACCTGGCCACTGATTGATAGGCATTTTTCTTTCCAGATTGCCAACTTTTATTAAAATTATCAATGACTGGAACCCATGCTTTCCTTCTGCACATTCTGTCCCCAATTGGCATCCCAAGATAGGTGAATGGGAGAGATCTTGTTTTGCAATTAAGAGTAACAGTCGCCATTCTCCTCCACTCATGAGAAACGTAACATGAGTACAAAACACTCTTGTTGAAATTGTTCTTCAAGGTTGAAATTAGTTCAAACCATCTCAAAATCCCTTTCATAGCTTTAATGTTACTTTGATATGCCTTCCCAGGATCATAGTATCATCAACGAAATGTAGATGTGAAATATTAAGGCCAAATGGCCCCACTTCAATTCCTTGGAGTAACTCCTTACTAACAGCTGATTCAATCAAGACATTCAGACCTTCAACAACAATAAGAAAAAGGAATGGTGCAATCGGATTGCCTTGTCTAATCCCCCTTTCCATTTTGAACTCATTAGTTGGGCTTCCGTTAACAAGGATCAACACTGAAGCAGTTTATAGACACTCTTTTACCCACCTTCTCCATTTTTCACCAAAACTGAGCCTCCCCATCATATCATCTAAGAAATCCCAGTTTACACAGTCATAGGCCTTCTCAAAGTCCGCTTTAAAGATAAAGCTACTCATTTTTTTTCTCTTTATCTCCTCCACCACCTCATTAAGAATCAATATGTCGTCTATGATCTGTCTTCCTCCCAGAAAGGCGGATTGAGTTCCGCTTATAACCATGGGTAAGACTTTCTTAATCCTGTTTGCTAGAGCCTTTGATATGATTTTATAAAGGCTACTAATCAAGTTGATAGGTCTGTAATCTTTAGCTCAATAGGATTACTCTTTTTTGGGACCAAAACAATAAACGAAGAATTAAGGCCCCTTACCAACTTGCCATTCTTAGAGAATTCCTGCACAAAATCGACAATATCCTTCTCAAACACATTCTGGCAGGATCTAATAAGGTGAAAGCTAAACCCGTTCGAGCCTGAAGACTTATCCCTACCACATTCCCATACTGCTTGTTTCACTTCTTTTGTTGAGAAATCCCTTTCTAGCCAATCTTTGTCCTCCTCTGCTAGCTGTTTAAATTGTAATCCATCAAACTTTGGCCTATCCCACTACTCTTCTTGAAAAACTTTTTTGAAGTAACTTTGCACTTCTTGTTTCACAGCACTAGGTTCCTCCAACCAAGATCCGTCTTTGTGAATACCTCGAATCACTTTTCTCATTTTGTTACTATTAGCTATTCTATGAAATAGCTTGGAATTCGCATCTCCATGTTGTACCCACTCCAGTTTTGCCTTCTATTTCTAGGCCATTTCTCTCATTTTCCATGCTTCCCATAGCTCACTGAATCCCTCATTCCTTAACAAAATTTCCTCCTCCGTTGTTTCACCATCCCCATTCATGCTATCTATTGCTTTGATCTTATCTTCCGCCTCAGCAATCTAATTTTCAAAATTTCCAAAGACTTCACTGTTCCATTTCTTTAAGCAATTCTTCAAATGTTTAAACTTCTCTTTGCATACGAACCCCTTCCATCCCACAACTTCTGTAGACCTCCAATTTTCCTCTACAACTCTCTTGAAATCTAGATGCCTATCCCAACAATTCAACAATCTAAAAGGCTTTGGGCCCAAGTCACTATTCACCTTCTTAAGGATCACTGGACAATGATCTAATATAGATCTATTTAGTCCGATTTGACAGCAGTCCCCCCACAAATTTAAGAAATCAACGGAGAGCAAAAATCTGTCCAACCTGCTTATAGTTGACCCATCACTCTTATACCAAATGAATTTTCTTCTAGTAAGTGGCAAATCGACCAACCCTGCCTGCTCAATAAAATAGTTAAGGTTTTCCCTATAATGAGAATGCTCAGATTTTCCCCTTCTCTCTTCCACTGATCTCACACTGTTGAAGTCCCCAGTGATACGCCAAAAGCCTTCACCTTCCTCAATCATTTTCAATAACTCTGCCCATGTTTTCTTTCTCTCATTCCTGTTGCAAGAAGCGTAATCATTCACCATACAACATTTTTGTTTCTTTTCTCCCCACAAACCATAAATTGTTAAGGCACCAAGTATATCAACTACTACTTCTTTTACAAAAATATCACTGTCCCATACACATAATAAACCCCATGATCTACCCGCTGAGGCTTTATGAGCCCATTCAAAATTCTCCTAGCCCCAAATAGAAGCACAAAAATCCTTATGTAACACCTCCATTTTAGTCTCCTGAAAACAAGCAAAACTAATTCCTTCCCTTCGAATTAAGCTTCTCACCTCTTTTCTTTTAACAGTGCTTCCAAATCCCCTCACATTATAAGATAAAAGCTTCATCAATAAATATTACTGAGAGGTTGAAGAAATACATATCCTTATGTCTCATAGACAAACCCCTGTTTATCCTGCTCTTTCATATGCTTGAATCGGTCTAGGATCTACTCTTTGCCATTCCTGGTATCAATCCCGAGCTTTTCCCCAAACTCAAATGCCTTTTTTGATTCTTCTAGGATCATGGGTTCCTTGATCCTCTTGTTGTTGGACAAGATGTAACTGTCTGAGAGGGAACCCTTTGATGATTCCCCACCGTAGTTAGCCGACTGTAGCAGAGCTTTCTTCCTTCTTCCACGCTTCATTCCAGTGACTAGTTTCATTACCTCCACTTTCTCTTTGCCTGGTATTATAATGGGGTTTTTATTTGGGCCTTCAGTCACTTGAAGCCCTGTTTCTTCCTGGCATCCCACGCCCCTCTTGACAGTCGGGAGATGAGCTTTAGTTTGTCTAGTAATTGGGATAATAAATTGGGTTGTTTCTTGCACCACTTGCTCTACTATCTTTGAGCTATTAGTCAAACTAATATGACTTTCACTTGCCCATTTGTCATCATGTCTTATACTCTGTTCCCCCCTCTCTTGGCTTGACAGGGCGCCTTTCACTTCCTTGCATACTTGAGCAAAAAACTTTGGGACGCCCAATTTGTCAGAACAATTAATGCCCTTAACAACCCCAAAGGAAGTTTGAATTTCCTTTTCTTCTGAGCTATCTGAGCTGCTACAGTCCATCTCACCGGCTACATCGCCGAAGCTATAATCCGACGAACTCTCATCTGAATCACCAATGGATCTACTAGCTTTTTTCAACCACTGAGGGTCATTTCTCCAGTTCTCATCTGTTGGAACAATATGAAACTGATTGTTCTTTATTTTAAGGATTAACTCTTCTTTAATCGTGGACTTGGATTTGGTAGAGATTAATATTCTTGCTGTATTGAGCCACTCTTTGGATAGAGTATGTTCATCAATGGACACTAATGTACCCATATGGTTACCAATCAATGCTAAGCTTTCTTCAGACCATGCATGCATTGGTAAACTGTGAATTTTGAGCCACGCCAATCTCTCCTTTGCTATGTCTGATGGAGACTAGAACTTAATTCGATCGAAATAAGTTGACACCCATTCTAAGTTTCCACCAACCAGCTCCTTGATCTGCTCCGGGTTCTCGTCATCAATTAGCACAAGATTACCACCCATCGGGACAATTTTAATTGAAGGGAAGCCTTCATTAAAAAATACCACTGGAAGGTTTGGGATCATATCAGGGGATAGGACCGCTCCAACTGCACACTTCATCAAGTTCTCTTCATCCTTTTTCGTGCCCTTTAACTCGATGACTTTTTTGGTTCCTGAAAGCTTCTGGAGTAGAGTCTTTAGCTAAGATACTTCTTATCTTCTTCTGATGTTCTTTCGCCTCTGCCAACGCAGGGTCTTTTACTCCTGTGACCTTGGTTTTTGTCGAAGTTCTCTGTTGGAGAAAACACTGAGCATAAGTCATTTTTGGGCACTGATTGTCTCCTTCTTCTATCTTAGTTCTAGCTTCTTACCAGATTAACTTCTTGCTACTCTTCCAATTTGCCTCCTCCACTGATTTAGCATCCAACCTGCATTTCTCTTCTCTTCTTTCCACCGCGGAATTAAATATTTACTCTTTGGTTGCCGATTCATATGTTTCCTAGTTGCTTCTTCATCTCGTGTCCATCTCTGGCATCCAAAAACCTGGCAAATCCATACCTTTTCCCCCTTCTGTCCTTCTTACTCAGGATGAATATATCCCAGAGTCTCCCCGCTTTCATAGACTTCCCAATGAAGTAGAATAGTTGTCTTGCTCCCCAATCATCAGGAAAGTTGTAGAAGTGATAGAATGAACAGTGTTTCAGTAAACCCTTGTCGAAAGCTGGCAGTTTGTTCGCAAAGTCCTTAGGATCGGTTGTCGAGTTCCTGTTGCCTTGTTGTCTTCTATCTCCACGGTTGCTCGCCATTTTCCTCTCTAGTATGATCACTCTCTAATGTAATCGCTATATGTAGCTAGAAGTTGAAGCATCCTTTAAATGTTTTTCTTTTTTTTTTTCTTTTTTTCTTTTTTTACATTGGAGGATTAATAAATTTTTGATAATGTTGATTTCAAACCAAGATTTTTAAATTAATAGATTTCAATTCCGGATCAATATATGGAGCATTGACTCAATAAGTTGTTAGGATTAATCTCTCAAGATATATTGATCAAGCTTTTTCATCTTTTTTTTCTTTGTCAACAAAATATTAAGTTTATAAAAAATATATATATAAAGTACTCTAACTTGTTATATCAATTATTTTTACCCCTATTATAACTGTTAATTTTACATCAAGATGTTTTTTTTTTTTTTACTGGATACTTCATGATGTTAATGTAGTATATGTACCTAGAAGTTGAAGCATCCTTTAAATGTTTTTCTTTTTTTTTTTTTTTTTTTTACATTGGAAGATTAGTAAACTTTTGATAATGTTGATCTCGAATCAAGATTTTTAAATTAATAGATTTCAATTCGGTTAAAAATTAAATCAATTCTTTAAAACACTATTAAAAAATAACTTTAATAATATCATTGAAAAATCACTTTAAAATAAAAAAATATTTATTTATCTTAAAAAATAAAAAAATGACAATTAATTTAAAATAAACTAAAAAAACAGTCATTTTATGACAAATCAAATAATATTTTCTGTTTTATTTTTTAAAAATAAACTGATAAACAGTTAACTTCACCAAAAATATCTTCAATGTATACAAAAATCTATCCTTAGCCTACCCTGCCACCTTCCTTATTTCGTGAGTAAGCATGTTAAACTAAAAAAAAGAGAGTCATGTTATAAGTATATAAATAATTGTTATGTAGTCACACAAATATTAAAAATATTTTTAATTTACCTAATTTTATTGATTCTTATCTGTTAAAATATATAAAAATATTACTATTAAAAAATATTTAAAAATATTAATTTATAAATTAATTTTAAATTATTAAATAGTAAATATAAATTTTTCTATTTTTCACCGACTAACATTCATACCATTTTTATGGGCAAAAGCCCACAAATTACCCTTCAACTTTTCAAGTATGTGAAACTTTACTTCTCACTTTACAATATGTGATTTTATACCCTATTGGTATTCAAGTTTATAATTTTATACCCTTATGGTATTTAAGTGTGTGGAATGTTACCCTTAACGTTACAACTTTCTAGGACTACACATGATCCCACAATGATAAAAATTACCTCATTATCATAAACTTGAATACCAAGATGGTATAAAATCATATATTGTAAAGTAAAAGATAAAATTTCATACACTTAAAAAGTTAAAGGGCAATCTGAGAGATTTTACCAATTTTTATGTTGCCTTAAAGATCCTTGAGTGAACAAAACCAAAAGTCGAAAAAAGATGGCTTGCCCACCTTATCTGACTTTTGATCAAGGCAAAATACTCAAACCCGTCCTTGCTCAAATTTACTCTCAAAATACAGTAGTAGGGATGAATCTATTTTTAAACAAAAAATGAGAATAAATTCATTCATAAAATTTTTAAGTTGAACAAATCATCTTAAATTTAACGTGTAACGTTATCTAATATCAGTAATTCATTAATTTGTTATGTTACTAATAAATTCATTGTTAATGGATTACTAACATTAAATGATGTCACATGTTAAATTTAAGATAATTTATCCAAGTCAAAAATTTTATGGATGAATTTGTTCTCATTTTTTATTTAGGGATAGATCCGTCCTTGTCACTATATTTTGGTAGTGGATTCGAGTACTTTGCCTTTAATCAACTTGTGTGTGTAATGATGGCAGAAAAAGAAAAACAAGGATGAAACTTGTGTAACCTTCTTATCTCCACAATGCAATTCTTGAGATGCATTACAGGTTTTTTCCTCATCGTCATCAGTTCCTTCTAGATTTGTTAGGATTATAAGAATGGACCACGGGTCATAGAGTTTAAATTTGTAACTTTCAAGAGGAAACCATTCCGTGTTCTGCGAATGAGGACTGTTACTTGGAGGATTAAAACATAAGAAATATTGAGTACTCAAGTGCATATTCTAAGAAAGATGGGACGGAGAGGTTTTAGAAGGGAAATACCGTCCCTGTCATTGGACCTACAAAGAGAAAATATCTAGAGTAGGGCAAACATTCACCCAAAGGCTGTGATGACAACCTCTATGTTCTTCGAAGAAAATGACCCATTGTTTGAAAGCACAGGTGGGTGTTTATGGGCTGGGGGGCCTGTGTGAACAACGGCCACAATCCATTCCCCTACTCTTTGTGGCATAGTGCCTTGCAATTAGGGTTGTTAACGAGTAGGGTAGCTTGTGAGTTTCGTACGAGTTACTCAGGTTAAGTTTGATATGCATTTAACTCATTTTAAATTTGATATGTATTTAATTTATTTAATAAATGAGTTGAATTTGAATTTAATATTGAGTTTGATTAAAAAAAAAAAAAGGTCTGAACTTCACCTTAAATCAATATTTGTAAGCTAATTGTGAGTATTTGATTTAAAATTAAAAATTAAAATATATATTTATGTGTGTGAATTTAAATATACAATTTTTATATATAATTTAAAAAATAATAATAACTTATTATAAACTCGAGTTTGAGTTTGGCATTATTATATTTTTATTTTTTTTTAACTACCGAACTTGCAAGACTTAAAGAAAAAAGGGTTTTCTTTTGAATGGTGGCATATAATTTGTTGAATGAATTTTAGTTTGAACATTTTAGAACTAATAATAAGAATGTTTAAACAAAGTTTTAAATTATTTTTTATTGTTAGATTTTAATATAATGCTTTTATTTAAATTTTTTATATTTAATATTTTTTTAAAATGTAAACATGTTTATAGTTAAATGATTGGTTATTAAAATAGTTTGAAATTAAAAAAAAAAAATCTCGAAATCAAGTTAAAGTATTCTCTTACTCGAGCTCGCAAGTGAACTTGAATTCGCTCAGATACTCACAGACTTGAGCATGAGCTTAATTATCTAAAGTTTGTCAAATACTTGTGCTCGATTCAAGGTTGAATTTTTTTAAGCAAGCATGAGTACTAGTATTTAGGCACTCAACTCTACTTGACTCATTAACAACCTTACTTGCAATGATTTCATTCACACAAAAAAAAAA